CATCATGGCTTGCTAAACATCATTTCTGAATGCAAACAACACTCTTCACCATCCCAATGTAATGCTGCAGCCAGTATGGGATTGTACCTTACTAGAGTTCTAGTATTGCGTATAGAAGCAAACACAAGCACTGCGCGTTTTCATTAGAGTTGCATACTCCATGCTGGGCATGCGCGTCGTCGCCATGCTCCAATCAAAGACTGCAATGCCGGGCTCCCCGCACAAGCAGTGTGGAACATGCAACGCAAATGAAACCACACAGTGCTTGCGTTTGCTCTATAGGCAAAACTAAAACTCGCCACTGTATCACCGGTTTCCAATGCCAACGAAACGTGCTGCAGTGAGCAGACATACAAGCAGGTAGGCTTTCCTTCAATCTGGAAAGGCTGAGATGGGAAATATGATGGAGTGTAAGAATTAAAGAAAATAAATGTTCTGAAAAGATTTGTAAAAAACAGAAACATACGTAATTTGTTTATTTTGGGGGGCTAGCGGGGGCATCTGGTCTGCAAGAATTGGTGGCGACTTTGGAAGTTTAGCAGATTGTCGAAAGTTGCGACTTTGATAGCACCATGTGGTTTACCCACAACTAAAGTAATTCTATATGGATTTCTCAGATTAGCTAGAATGTTTTCATTGATTTTAGACTATTTTTATTTTATAACATGCTAATTAAAACTGCTGCAATAGCCACCAGTGATGATGATTTGCACACCTTTGATTGCCATACTTGTTTGTACATTGCAAATTAGACCATAAGCAACAAATTATATTAGAGCTTGAAAAACTGAAAAACTATGTATTAAAATATCTTAATTGTATTATTATTATTAATAGAAATTGTGGCAATGTAGGCCCCCAATAAATGCCATGATCACAAAAATATGCCATTTAACCATAATAGTCTTTCTAGAAAGACCTCATTTTGTTTTCTTTTAAGAATATAAAAAACTGACATTGTTATCAAGATAGACAGGCTTGCGATAATTCAAACAGATCTCAAAATGTTGGTTGTCCCGCTACGTTTTATAATGCATTCATAAGCTGCTTAATTCGAACGGTGATTTCGTGTAATTCATACTTTTTATTCTCGCGGCCCCTTTAAGTGCGCTTCTTTCCAAGCATTGGTGCCCTGCAGAGAAGCAACACTTGTGGAGCTTGCTTCTGCGGATGTTGCTTCTCTGCAGTACACCAGTGCTTGGTGAGACTTGCACTCAATGGGGCTCAAGCAGGGCAAAACCATGTATAGAGAGAGTTTGGTCAATGGGAGCTGCCAGCAGAGCCAGGGCGTTCACCAGGCGCACAGAGAGAGCTTGACATGCTCTCTTGGCCAAACAAAAGACAAAAAGGATCCCCTAGCGGTGATAGCAAGAAACAGTTTTAATCATAGGTATATGGTTTTAATAAGCGTGTAAGAGTTAAATGTAGTAACTCTTCATGGTTGAAAATATGGTGCACGTGATGTTTCGATCATGATCATGCAGAAGAATGTAAGAAATGAATGCGCCAATCAGCTCTGTTCTGCACAAACAGAGTGCGACTGCTCGGACGGCAGATTCCCGGCCCTCGGCGCCTGGCGTACGAATTATGTCGACCGTTCCGCTAGCCGCGCTCTTCCACCATGATTTTGGATGACCGTGATTGAAACAACAGATCCACAATATTTTCAATCACCGAGAGTTACTCCAACGCATCTATTAATTTTGATTCTTGCAACCACCACCAGCGTATTATTTCCGGTTTCTGGTCGGCCGCATTCGAATTTCTGAAGACGCCCTGGAACACGCCCAGCATGCTTTCGGCCAAAGGAGTCTCCTCATTTGCATCCTGCACTTCCCAATAAATGGTCAAACTCTTTACATATATGGCTCTGAAGCAGGGCATTCATGAGCTATGAAAACAGACACTACGCGGAAATTGACATAGCAATTTGCGCTGACACTAAGACGTGGCGGCATGGCATAGGTCCATGTCACAGAGTCCGCGCAAGTTGTTATAGAAACTGCTGCGCGGTGCCCGTTTTCATTACTATCGTGTCCACTGATTAATAGTTGACATTAGACTTCTTGCCCTGATGAACAAACATAATTTTGTTTTGAGCTGTCATATGCTGTCTAAACAGTCCACATTAAACAACATTTCTGAGGGATAAATAAACTTACGTCATACATTTAAAAAATGTTTCATGTGTGGCATACCGGCGTATTATCAGAAGGCCTATGTAGAGGAAATCATCAAAAATCAGCTTTGCACGCGTAGCCATTCATATGGCAAATCATATTTTTATCTTGCATCATATTTAGACAAATTTCTGATAATTCAAACAAAATTTATGGCTTCCTAGAGTTTGAATTACAGTCAACTGCAAACACTGGATCTGATGGATCACGCATTGCTTTAACTTTTGAACCGTTTGTATTATTTGTATGAAATTTGCAGGGTGTACTCATAGCACTGGACAAGGATGCTGTGGAAATTTTCAACCCTATAAATTTATCCCACGATGAGTTACACAAAAGTTCATAATAAAAAAGTGTATCTGCTGAGGAAAGCCATTGTTTTTTAGAAAGGGAAATGAAAATGGCCAGTTTTTTTGCTGGAACATACAGCAGAATACTTGCTTCAGACAACTATGAAAAGAAATTTCAAAAATTATAAAATTTATTAACAAAAAAATATGGAAAAGATTTTTTTTATATACATTTGATTAAAAGAAATAAAAACTTTTCATAACAAAAACAAAAGAGCATAAAAATGCAGAAAGTAAGTTCACAGTCGTGTTCTCCAGAAAATTGAAATATAGAATAACCAAAATATATCAGCACGCATAATTTGATTATGAAATGATAGCTTCCCTGAACTGCTATTTGACACTAAAAAGTGAAGCTGAGATAAATGCCCTTGAAGTTTCGAGATAACATATCACAAATTTCTTTTTGCATGTTAAATGTCAGAAATTCTTTCCAACAGTGTACGTGATGTCTTCCTCAAACTTCTTCTGATATACTGAGATTGATTTCAGTCATTTTCACTTGTGGATGATGAGTGCTACGCAGTGTAGCACACCTCACCAACATATAAAGAATAATTATTTTTGACATTGTCAGTCAACATTGACAAGACTTTGTGAGAGTGTTCCTTGTTATCCATACATTGCAAAACTCTGCAGTTCTGAATATGAATATTTTTGGAAAAAAAAGTGCAATTCAAGGTAGTGTCCCCCCTTAAAAAACATGCACACTTCTGCTGTCTGACTCAGATTCCGTCTTTGGGTATTTGTAGTGAGAACAGCGTTTCTTAATTTATATGTTTTGCAAACATATTCTAAACTCATCACTTGTGGCAATATTTTGTAAAATTTGGATTGATTCTTGTACCTCTGTGCTGAGAATAATGTTAAAGCAATGAATTATGTAAATACCCAAAAACCCATTAAAAGGCCCGCAGTTCATTATTTCGCAGGACAATTATCAGAGAAAGGAAAGGCAGCAACAACACACAAATATCAGCGCCAATTTTTTCAACAAGTACAGTATTCTATATCACATCTAAGGAGTATGAACGACCCTGTCTTTAAAGGAACACTGAAGGCAATTTCGGATATATTTTTGGCGATTGAACTGGGTTCCAGGCACACCTCAGGCAATGTTGCCCAAATTTCAGCCAAAATCGGCGCTTGTGTGCCGTGCAAATCAATTAAACAGAAGCGGTAATAATCGTACCGGGATCGATTGCGGCGCCGCCCTAAAAGTTGTAAGAGAGGACAGGAAAAGCGGAGTTCGTGTGACATGGCGGGGCCTAGAAGCGCGACGTCACAAGAGACGCGTCAGCGATTGGTCGAAACGAGAGACGTGCCCTCGGTCACGTTTTGGTTCGCAACTTTTATGAACACTGTTCCAATTTCCACTTGAATAGCCATGACAAGTATAAATCGGACCGGAAATAATTACTAAACCGTAAATAAAACAGCATAATTATTTTTCTCTTTGCTACGCTGGTCGTGAAACGGGCAACGAGCAACTATGGGCAAACAAAATAAATAAAAAAGGGGCACAGCGTGCAACACGCGGGAGACGTTTGGTTTTGGTTTCAGATGTCGGTGTCGTGTTTACTTTGGGAACACGTAGGATTCTGCAAAGCGCCCAAACTCACTCGCAAAAGCGGCATTGTTGTCCATGTTGACAGGTCCGACGAAACAACCGCGGTAACCAAAGTCTCAATCTCCTAAATGCTACCGACATCGACTATCTATACTTGTCGTCGCTCCCTACGTCACCTTTGTTTTCAGAGGCACAGAAATAAGAATGGAGATAGTTCAGTTTCGGTTTCTTCAGTTCTTTCGTAGGCACAAAAATTATGTGTCACAAATGTCTATAGAAAATTGGGCAGTGTGCTAGGTTCCCAAGAAGCCTAGAAACGCCATTTAAAAATATTAATTAAAATCGTCGCCATTGAGGGACACTTTCCAAAATATTTTGAGGTGCCCAGATCGGACACATGTCGCAAAATAAAGTTTCCGCAAACAACTTCTTCAACTCAATAATTATGCTGAGAGAGTTGTGAAAGAATTTGAAGTAAACACCTATACCGAAAAATTAAATCCAAAATAGGGTTAGTTTTGGTCTCGTTCCAGAACTAAAACGTGCCTCCTGGCATAAATATTGTGCTCAACACCATTTTTGTTTTCAGGATAAAGAGGTGACCTGTGCTCATCACACCCTAGCTTCCTCGTATAAGCAGGAATAACTTGAGTCGCTCAGTGAAGCCAGCACCCTAGACAGGCTCAGTAACTTGAATACCGGCATGCATCTCCAACTCTCGCTATAACCACCATTTTGTAAAATGAGTGATGCCACCTATAATAAATTGTAGTCGCGAATAACGTTGGTTACGCTATGGCATCAAAGCCATAGCGCAATTTTTTTAATAGTAAGCAGTGGTATATTTGCATGCTCAGCTTAGGAAGCCTGTTTCAGAGTCTATAACAGAATAAAGCTTACTTCAAGGTGCGCAGCATGGTCTTTTTCACCTCGGCCATAGTTCCGTAGTCCACGTACAAAACCTGCAAAGAGATGACAAGCCTTGCCCACTCTGTTGGAACGACCGATTGCGGGGAAACCACCTTGCAGGAGAGAGGGTCCTGTCCCACCGACACCACCATGCCCCTGTGCCAGTCGGAGCTGCCGTCGCTGTAAGTGTACGGGGCAGCACAGGGAAACCCCGGCCTGATATGCCGCTCGTCCACCACCTGAGTGTCCGAGCTGTGGCCTTCGTACACCTGCGCATGAATGCCCTTAGTATGAATGTGTAGATCAGTGCTTTACTGTGTTACACCTCGAAAGTGTGTTCGAAGACGGCAAACTTTACCGCTTAGCTTAGTGCCCCAAATGAGCACTGTTCACCACATTAATAGTTTCGATGCAAGCTTTCGGATTCTCAAAGAAAAGGGGGAAAAAAACCGGTGATCGCTTGTTTGCGCTAACAGCATTGGACTATGAACATCCACATCAGAAATGTGGGCGGTTTCGCCCAGTCTAGCAATTTTAAGAACCGTTCGCTGATTCGGCAACGAAAAAGATTAATACCTATAGACGTTTGCAAGTGAGGCTCTTGCACAGCTTCGGACCGTGCAACACGGCGGGAGTGAGGAGCCGGCACCCTCCGACCAGGGCATTCGTTTCCGGTTCGTGGGCATTGCATGACGGTAGATTACACATGATTGTGCAATCCTCCAACAAATATGGCGCTGCAGGTTGGTGTTGGCGCGGTCTTAGCAGTCTCCATGCCGAGAGTTTGTTTTTCCTGCAAAGCGTCATTCTTGGCTGCGACACACTGGTCGCGATAGTGAACCAGCAGACCCTAGAAAAAGACCCGTCCACCCGAGCAGTCGTGTCGTAGGGCGACATCAAAACAGCAGAAACGTTTGTGCTCCGTGTCCGATTCCTTCATTGACACCAATACTTTTTGAGCGTTCGCGGCCCCGAATGTCACAAGTTTCTTGTTTTGCGTACATCTGTGTGCTCGTGTTAAAGTGAGCACTGATGCACATTCTTCTGTGCATGTGCATGTGTGGCTGTGTCCGAGGCGTGTGAATTTTCCCTGGGTTGGGATATTTCACCGAATGGGTTAGGGTTAGCGTTCATCAACATTTATTCCGTTCGTGTAATCTCGAAAGCATATCGCTCTGTTGCTGGCTTTCAGAGAGAATGACATTGGTGTAATCGTAGCAGCTGAAGAATATACAGTAATCCCTCTTTATAACAAAGTCAAAGGGATGGCAAAAACATTCAATATAAGCGGTAAATCAGTAAAAGCAATAGAGTAAAAAAAAAAGACCGCATCTACACGTGGTGAATGATGTTGATTGGGGCAAAGCACTGGTGGTGCGTAGACGCTGAGCCGCAGCATGCCGAGGTTTTCGTTCGTTTTCATCCATGTCAGAAAGAGAATGTGTGGTATGGAACGTGGTTATATACGCATTTGAGCATTTAACCGCAGCGCCCTCTCGTCTATAAACGTTGAGCCAATGCATGCGAAGTTTAACACGATTATATACGCATTTGACCGCAGCGCCCTCTCCTGTATAGACGTTGAGCGGCTACATGCAACGTTTGAACTTCGAACTTTATTTCAGCAACATTATGCCGAGGACACCAGACCAAAAAGCTAACAGAAGCTAGCTTGACTGGCTTCATCCATGACATCCCCAACTCTTGAGTTACTACCACATCTCCAGAGCCCCCTACTCATCCTGTTTCATCCATGACATCCCCAGCTCTTGAGTTACTGCCACATCTCAGAGCCCCCTACTCGTCCCGCAGTCATGGCCGAGCGGTTAAGGCAATGGACTAGAAATCCACTGGGGTCTCCACGCACAGGTTCGAATCCCGTCGACTGCTCAAGCATTTTTTCTTTTTTTAAGAAGACAGATGGGATGGCAATCGATGTGAGCATGGACGCCGGACGGACAAGGCTAGACCCTAAGGAGCTTTGCCCCTAAACCAGTGCGAGCAGCCTTGAAGGTGGACGGGAACACTGCAGAACAGTAGGTCTTTCGTTATGCTTTGAGGTCTAATGCCACGACCGGTACGCGCAGCCGTTTTGTTGTGTGGGGGGGGGGGACGTGGGTGTGCGCTGGCCTGACATAAGGCCTAACATTAGGCTTTGAGGTCTGTCATCAACCAGTACCCGCAGCTAGGGCGATGATGATGATGAGATGAGAAAATGCGATATTTCAGCACGCGCCGCGCCAAACACTGCACTCCTGCCGCTGCCTCACCCAGCTGCGCTGCAGTCACCAGTGAGCCAGGGCGGTCAGCGCGGCACACGACCGCACTCCCTGCAGGCCAATCCGGCCGCTTCTGCTGCTCTCGGCGCCGAGGAACATTACTCGCAGCGCAAAACTCAAAGGAGCACTCAGCGGCGTTCAATTGGATGTTAATGCTTTCTCATTCACAACTCATAGGAAGTGCTTAGGTGTCCTCAGAACGTTTTAATTAACCGACAGGAAGGTCCTCCAGTTGTTGCACCTACAGCACGGGCTTACTGCCTTCGAGGACGCTTCATAGTTTCGCGAGCATCGAGCGTGCACGCCCGGCCAGAATATGACGGAAGGCAACAAAAGCGTGCTGGAGACAGGGCATCTAAAAGAGACAATGTCTTTCTCATCCTGTCATTTATTATATTAACTGAGAGGGAGGTCCTCCAGTTGTTCTGCCTACAGCACGGCCTTCGAGGATGCTTCGTAGTCTCTCGAGCCTCGAGCGTGCACACCCAGCCAGAATTGACGGAAGGCGACCGCAGGCAAATATTTAGAAAGAAACCATTATTCAATTAAATACATGATGTTAATATAAAAAATATATATTTGAATCACATTTTATTCGCACTCAAAATTTTCAAATTCTCTAATATTCACTATCGTACAGGTTGTGGCTCAACCACACCCCTATATTTAACTATTTTGTGGTTGAGATTTCTTTTCAAAAGACGTACCACAGTCGTCTCTTTTATTTTTTTCATAGAAAAGGATAGCATTAAGAACAGGTCGATGCACAGCATTTTAAATCTGTTGGCATTTATTTTCAGAACGGACCGGTTTCGCGAGGATGATGCGCGGTTTCCGTCTCGTGCTATTTCGCTCCCGTTCGTTCGCTCGTCACATTCTCTTTCCCCCTTACAGGGATGGGCAGTATTTCAAATACAAGTATTTGAAATACGTATTTCAAATACTTTGTGTATTTTGCATTTGCACTTAATTACAAATTGGGTAATGTATTTGACGTGTGTATTTAAATACTAAAACGTGGGTATTTCAAATATAATTGTAATTAAATACAATTTTGTGGGCGAAAATACATCCCTCAAATTTATTGTCACTGTCCAGAGCTGGAAGAAAGCTACGTGCTGCACCGAATGCAGTGTCTCTCAATCAAGCACAAGCGTTTAGTGACTTTGTGATTACGGCGCTAGTCCAGGGCAAGAATAGTGACGAAATTGACGTTCATAGGCAGACTGGCTAAATACGTGACTATGAAAACTTGTGATGCTTTCCAGCCTGATTTCCATCCATATTTTTGCCATTCTAAATGCGCGGGTCGTCCATATTTTCGTAACCGGTGCGAGTTGCAACAATAAAAAATTATCTAGCTAGTGCTGCGCGTCTTGGTCGTCTCGGTTCTTTGTTGGTCTATACCAAAATGTAATCGAAAAAAAAGAAAAAAAGCTGCTTAAAGCTCTGTACTTTTTTCACCTATTACGTCCAAGCTGATTACATTTTTTGTGATTATGTTTCTGTTATGTTGCTAGAGCCTCACACACTAACTCCCGAGTGTGCGATGCAAAATTAAAATGAGATACCCAGAAACCAGTTGCAGGTGCCCTGAAGTCGCTGATGCACATTTTGAGGAATGTATTTGGAAAAGTATTTGGAGGAGACCAAATACATTTGGTTGTATTTGTATCTTGTATTTAAATACTTTTTTGGAAATGTAATTAGATTTGTAATTAAATACATTTTGACGAAGTATTTTGTATTTGTATTTCGATACATATTTGAATGTATTTTGCCCATGTGAGTCTTCTGGCACGTTCCCATGGCTGCACTGTGGGAGCGGGAGAGGAGGGTGTCAGGCAACCGTGGCCCAACATACACGACAACGTAAAAGCCAAGGTGCTGACACCTGGGAGGAAAGGTTGGCTCTTCGAAGACAACGATACGCGGACCGCGGGTAGCGATCGAGGGAAGCTGTGGTGGCTGCATTCGAAACAACTGAAGCCCGGCAGAACGGAACGACTCTCCAAGCGCGACACTATGCAAACTGTTGCGAGGTTGGTATCTTCATTCTTCGCAGAGTCGGAACTCCTGCACTAAATGCTAGTGCATTTCGTCCAAAATCAGTGTAGCAACAACAGCATGTTCAGTATCAATATTTTTTTTACCTGTTGGGAGCATGTACACAGCTTGCAAGCTGTCCAGATTGAGAAACTATAGAGAAAGAAAAAAATTCCGAGGACACCTGAGCACTTTTTATGAGTTGTCAATGCAAAACCAAGAATGTCGTTCTTCCCCTCCCTTAGATCGTCTGCGGTGTACCAGCGTGGACGGCCACGTTTTGCCACTGCCCAGGTTGTGACCGCCGACGATATAGATGCCTCAGGTGCCGCCATATTCCATGGCACCAAGAAAAGCAGAAATGGCCGCAGCCCCCCCCCCCCCCTTCCCCCCCCCCCCCTTCCCCCCCCCCCCTCCCCCCTTCGGCAATGCCTAACATGAGAGCAGCGGCCAAACACGCGCTCTCGTGAAGCGGCCGCCAATGGCTATCTAGGAGTTGTTTCGCTCAGCCAATGGGAGAAATCACGTTCTTTCGCAGCTCCAAACGCCGCCGGCTCCGCTCCATGGGTTAGTGATTGCTTTCACATTAATATAGAGGGCAAAAAGTCGCCTACTTTCCCCCAATTGGTTTTATTTTTGCGTGTCCGCTTCCAATCAACGTTCTGGTGGTCTCAAACTCCGAACTGGAGGCACTTGACAAAACGTAAGCATTGAATCACGAGTTCTCGTCCTCTGATTTCAATTTCGACAAGCGTTGCAGTCTAAATTGAAAGAGCCAGTGCTCCAAATGCCACTACCACAGAAGCAACACGCGCACGCGAAGCAGCTCTCCTCCAGCATATCACTTGAGTGTCGAATTTTGAAACAATAAATAGCCCCAACAAAACGAAACACGGTGTGAATAAAACAAACATAGTTCCTCGAAGACATAACAGACAGCAACACCTCATAGGGTGCACGCAGTTTTGCGTATAAGCGGCAACTTTCCAATGTATCATCGCTGCCGCACATGTGTGGTGGCGGTTATACGTTGAGCGCTTCTGCACTGCCTTACATTTTACGGCGGAGACCACCGTCGAAGGGTTAGACAGGCATTGTGCTTTTCCTGGGAACAGAAGAGAGCACTCAATGGTCACCCCATTGCATTTTCAGACGAACACTCTCCCAAGATAGATGTTTCACACCAAGCTATAGTCCATTTCACCTTACAACGGACAGCAGAGTGCGCCACAAGTCACTGAAGACAACCCAACGACGTGTGCGTGTCATGTGACCTTCGCGACGGGTGCAGCTGATATGGCTCGTAGCATTCGCTGCGGTCCATCGTCAAGTGAAATGGAGAGTGGCGTTCTCTCCACCTTATCCAAAACCCGAAAGGTTGCCTAAACCGAAGCAATGACGTCCGGCTCAACTGTTTTGAGAAAGCGCCGTCATTCGGATGATTACCTGGTCCAAATCTGTACGCCGTGCCGTGGGAAAATTTTTTCTAGGGACAAATTGAAGCACCAGGTGCACCACCGGTGCTAGAGATCAACCAATCGGATTGATCGGAGAACCAAATAAATGGACACGGCAGGGGAAAAAGTTGCTGGATGCATCTATTACTTCATAAAACCCCACAAACCTGTCGTAAAATAATGGACGATTGGAAAAGCTGTTTAAACTTAAAATCTAGGTTGCATATTATTTTGGAATAATCAAAATGCCTCGTGAAGGGTGCTAGATCTGCTTTGAAAGAAACGATCAAAATTAAATTATCTTTAAAACTTTTAGCATTTCTTTTTTGACTTTCACATAATCAGTGCTGCTTGTGGAAACGAAATCGAAGTTTCCAGACCAGTGAGTCTGAAAACTGTGCCTGTAATGCCGTCGAGATAAAAAAAAATATAGGCCCCGTGCAAGACTTTCTTCGATGAGACCGTTTCTTTCTTTGTGTCCTCGAACAACTTTTTGCAGACGCGACAGGAAGTGCAGGAAAGAAGGGACGACCGTGTTCACCCACCGTCTCAAGCTCGTTCATGAGCACCTCCAGCTGGAGGGAGGTGTCGTTGCCCTTGAGCTGCACGTAGAAGTTGTGGATGCTGAAGACCTGGGACACGTACACGGGGCAGTACTCCCGGTCCACGAGGCCCTCCTGTACCCGGAAGGGCCCGTAGGCCAGCAGGGGTGGGCTCGCGACAGGGGCACGGGCCACGGGAGGCGCCTCAACCGAGCCGCCGTCCTCCCGCCCAATGTCGCTCCACTTCAGCACAAACTGGCCTGCGTTCGCACAAGGAGCGGCCAAGCCTCGGTCATTAAAAGTTGAAAAGAAGCCCAAGAGAATTTTGAATTTGAAAAGGCTATGAAAGACTGAATGCCGGCAACCAACAAAAGAACACGAGCGAGGTCCGTGCCACACGAACAGACGCTCCAGATGGCCTCTACCAGAACCACTTCCTCGGAACGGTGTAGAGTCAATGGAGTTCTCCAGCGTCACCTTTAAGCACGATGGGATCGCTCGGCGAAAAGCTGTCCCTCTCCTTGCTACATCCCAGGGGCGCCCCATCAGCGTAGTATTTAAACATACTTCGCGACGTTAGTCATCCGCCGTCGGGGTGTCACACGACCATCGGGGTAGCACGTGGTCACCCGACCGCACGATAACGTCAGAGTGACGTGACACGACCGTGCCACATCGCGATGCTGCACGAGCACAGCGTTGTCATCGCCTCGTTCGTATGACGTCGTTGCGTCAAACCTTGCAATACTCAACGTCGAGCAAGCGTCGCAAAGTCATTGGGACAACGTCCCCGTCGAGGCTATCGTGAAGTACCGAGTAAGGGCTCACTCAAAACTTCAAGATCGTCCCAAAAAAGTGGGGGATGGGCACTTGTTAGGTTATCAGTTTTACACATATTTGTACTGCGCATATTTTTTCGAATGTCACGAAATTTGGGGGTGGGCGCTCACGTGAAATGGGTGGACTTTCGGTATCTTACGGCTTGTCCCACAGACGCGAGGGTGCAAAGAGCCAGCCCCACAAATGCTCTACACGTTCAAAACCGATGGCTCGAGAGAACCCACCTTTGCCGAGGGGCTCGTACACGACGGGCAGCTGCCCCGTGAGGAAGAGCACGAAGGCCTGCCTGGTAAAGCCGTGGTCCGAGGGGCTCAGGGGCACCCCCGACAGATCCTGGTAGGCCTGGAGGAGCTCGTCCAGCGACAGGCCCCGGGAGTCGCTCGCCCTGCCGCCCCGCAAACGGGCGCTCATGATCATTGATTGATTGCGTACGATCCGCACCTCCCGCACTCCACCTCGCCTTACGATGGACCACGATGAACGCTACGAGCCGCCGGAGCGAATTTCTAGCTCCATGAAGGTAGGAAGCTTTTGGAGGCAACGTGACGCCACCAGAAATGGAGCCGGAAGTGTGGAGGGACATGCCCCCTACAATGGTCAAAACCACGGCTCTTTTGATCACCCTTGGGTGCCCTTCTTACCTCCATGTCTACCTAAAAGGCTGTTCGGGCGGACCGACAGTGGGAGCGCGACGTCGCGCGACACACTCAGAGCTGCGGATTGGCTCTGGTAAATCGTTGCATCCATCGTGGTAAGTCGCAAAGTGGAACGCACTATGGATACCGAGATTGCAGTGTTAGTTTTCTACGTCATCTACCAGATCCCGGCATGGGTCACAGATTGGATGAGTGTGCCGCGTCAATGGTAGGCTGCCATTTGTGTTCAATCAGCAAGGGCAAGAGGTTCAGCCAAATGCTGAAGCAGCACTTGTGCCCAATTTGTGCCCCGTGAAGGCCTCGGACAGATAACATGACAAATCGAACACTATGGTCTCGCTATCCGTACTCGGCATCAACTCCTTTGTGCTTCAGGCCCGTGCTGCTACGAGAGCACATGGCACCATCAAGCGTCTCATTCTCACTTGCCCTCGGGTGAAGGAAACACCGAACAAGGCCCCGCGCTTACGCAAGTTAATCCAACAGTGATGGAGCACTGCGGAACCTACGCTAGCCTCGCAAAGTAGTACGAGAAAGTTGACGTCTGGTATTGAGGATATCTAACCGCTGCATCCCTAAGCGGCCGATCCAACCGAATCTGCGAGAAAAAATAAAGCACCCCCCCTGAATTTGAAGAAAAATAAACCGGAAAACAGTGAGCCCCAACAATACCCAACAAAAGAAACGGGCGGGGGGCGGACTGTCAGAGCGGTGCCCACCTGAGCGCGCTCTCCAGGGTGGACAGCACCCTGGGCTCGAGGATGGGCTGCCTCTGTCGGTCCACCTGGCATACCATGAAGTCTCCACCCTGCACGGGGCGCTTCACCTCCAGCGTGCCCGCGCAGTTCTCCAGCAGCTGCAGCAGCGTGCTGAAGCCCAGCTCGCCCACCCGCAGCTCCTGGCCGGTCTCGCTCTGCAATGGTGGTCGGGGGGGGGGCTGACGGTCAACAAGCTACAGTGCCCTGAACGCGTCTCAGGACTGGTTCGTTTAGCGCCCTATTTAGCCCGTGCATTGTAAGGGGTCCCGAAGTGAAAACAAATGATGCCGCAAAAGTCGAAGCGTTATTCCAACGATTTACGCGGTCCTGGTAATTGGTTGCAAAAGTTTGGGCAAAAAGCGCAAGCAAATGAGAGCGTCGCTGTTGTCGAGGCGTCCCAAGTCCTGCCTGCCGAAGCTTTCGTGGACTGTCGAGCTGGAGATCGATAGCATGACACTTCTGCGATATCATGAGGCAAAAAACGAGGGACCACTTTTTGGATGCGGAAGACACACCAGTCGGGGGACGCGTTCAAGGCACCATACCTAGGCCAAGGCAAAGTAGTGGGAAACAGGACCGAGTGAAGCCAACACTGGATAGATTAATCGATGCCCGCAAACATCCTCCTCTTTCTCCGCGGACAATCATTGCGGACGGATGGCGCCAGCTCGGCAATCGGACCCAATCCGGATGCCGAGCGTTCTTCCGACGCGTCGAATGGACACAAGGACCGGCCGAACGCCAATGCGACACCGGCATCTAATCGGTGTCTTCGCTCAATCTCGCTGCAATGATGTCAGAATTCTAGTGCACAGGCTTCGATTATTCTAGGTGGTGTTGGTAGAGCCTGGGCACCACCAGGAAGCAGCATCATATCATCTCACAGACGTTCCAAGAGGCAATGTCCTAAATATTTGGTTCCTGCCCGGGGTTAACGAAAGCCTTAGTTATGTATTTCCTGCCGACAAGCTACCCGTGCATTCTCCAGAGGGGCGTACCAAAACGATCAATGTGACCCGAAACACCCGATACGGCCTTTTTCTGCGTCTGCAGTCCCAAGAGTTCAAAGCATGGGACCTCAACTCCGCATTCCGTTCCTAATTCGAACCACGACTTTGGTATTGAATGCAATAGTACACAGCGTAAAATCCAGAATAAAAAACAAAAAAACAACGCCCAACCCCATTGTTCTGGCTAAATATTTGCGGGGTAAAACCGGCAACGTCACGCCACGCTCGCAAATGAGCGTACGTGTCGAGTGGCAGCTTATGCCATCTAGCCGACGACGACGGAGGCATGCACGGCGCACGCATCTGTCGCCGCTGCCACCACTGCAGCAACGTGAACCGAGACAACCGCGACCAAAGCAGTACCCACCTCGTACACCTCTGCGAAGTCCTTCAGCCAAATTCCGTCGGGATGGTTGGAGAACATCTGTAATTTAGCCCGTGACTGGTCAGTCTCCGGAGAGCTTGGAGCAGCAAATCTCTAGCGTTTGTGCAAGTGGCAGGAAATTTAAAAACTGGCAAACGAAAGTGCGTGGCAGTTTTACAGCGACACTGCAAACCTGCTATAAAGAGCAATGGCGCCAGAGGAAGATTTGGATTTGCTCGTTTGAGAAACTGACATGGGGGCTGCTAAAAATGCCTATTAGGACATAGTATTTTTATTGGTTGCTGAACTGCACTCACAAAGTGTTTGTGAATGCAGTTTCTGCAAGAATCAGTTGACATCATATTTTCTTTTTTCTTTTGGAACTGTTACAGCAGTGGTTCTCAAACATGGATGTGTCGGAGACCCCTAGGGGACTCGCCAAAGTGATGGGGGATCCCATGCCAGCAGGGAAACGGGAAGGAGAAGGGGGAGGGGGGGGGGGGGGTACAAAAAAAGACAACCAATTGCAGTGTGAGAAGGGCATCCTTTACTGTTCTCGACAGAAGTGAGAAGGGCATCCTTTACTCTTATAGACAGAAGTGAGAAGCATCAAGTGAAAGAATGAATGGATGGATGGATAGATGGTAATGGCTGTACTCTTTATAACGGGCAGTAGCATGCACCACCTAGACAAAGTCAACTAAAAAACTTTTTTTTTTTTTTTTAAATGAGGAGAAGGGGGGAGGGGAGGCTTTGCGGACAGCAGGAATGGCTTTACAGACCCCAGCGGACATGCGGAGCACCATTCAGGAACAACTGAGCTATCGGAACAAACTTCGCACAAAAACTTAGAAGACCCCAAAAATTCGTATGCCTATCTAACGATGAGAATGAGCAAGTTCACTGTATGCTTGCGATTCCAGCCCAGGCAGGAATGCACCCTTAGAGGTCCAACATTCACCATCCTAAGTAATGGATAAAAAGAAACCACATCTAACTGGCCAATGGGTAATGTATTATAATGGCCTGTACTTGCAATAAATTCTCGTTAGTTAAGATAGTCAATACGAAGCATTTGCAAGGATTGTACGGTTGCAAGCAGAATTCATTACAACGTTCATGCTAGAACCACGAGTAACAGTACACCGTTCCGATTACCTTATACACGTTTGCAAGAAAGGCTCCTGTGCGCTGCCATTTTGAGCGATGCTGGCGCCCCGTACCGTTTCCGCCATGCTGGGGTGCGCGATGACAAGATGGTGCCGTTTGCTGCATCGCCGATGGCTAACGTTAGAGGCACACTTACTGTCTCGGAACGCAGGAGGAGGTATCCACACAGAATCGTAGCATCACATATTGTAGGGCGGGGCATTTTTAAGGGCTGGAGCTGACTCTATAACGATCGCAGCCTCTGTTCCTGCATGTTGTGGAAGCCAGAGCTGCCGCGAGCGCAGCCATCGTTGATGCAAAGGCCATGCGACTTGTGGCGCATTCTGAAGAGCGCCTTGAGACTTTAGATATTTTTGAAATTTTTCGATTTGTTACTAGTTTAGGCATTTTATTTAATTATCCATGCTCTTTCGCGGTCGAAGACGACACGTGTACGTTTTGTAGTTATTTTTTCAATTTCTTTCTGCGCTCAGTGGTGTATGCTTCGGCGAGAGACGCTTGGCAACATTGTACGACAACCAGCGAACGTCCTGACTGGAGAGTAGGTCCGCCTCACCTTGGCGCGCGGTTCGAGGTTAAGCCGGGATCCCACTTGCAAAGGTGTATAGGCGCCACCATTTTGGTGCCAAGTGCAGAACGGGCACAACTGGCGATAGTTACATCCGAAAATGTGGCTTCGTTAGCTCTAGATACGGTATCGGATTGTCTTAACGCTTTTCGAGAATGACAAAGCGTTTCCTGCAATTTCAGATATAGCTTCAGATAACTGGCAACCACAATTTCCAGAACCAAGATGGCTGAAGGGTCGTTACTCAGAAGCCTACCGTATTTGCTCGAGTAATAGCCGCACTATTTATGAGCAAGGCCCTTGCTTCTACTTTCCCGCAATGCACATATACAGCCAATCATTGCGTTGCGCATAAATAACATAGCGAATAACCTGATCGAAAGCACGATTCTCCATATAAATGCAATTTTCACAGATGGTATCTTTGCGCGAAGACGTTATTATCTCTGTCCTGTAAACCGCAGGAGTCATGCTGTCGATCGTGGCGATTGGCAAACCGCGTGCTCCGTGGAAAAGAAAACCGTCAGGTTTTCTTCATAACCAGTGCGGCCATTACTCGAGTAAATACGGTAGCTTATGCGGCGGTTCTCGTTCACACCGCATGGACAAAATGCACCTGCCATTCATAGATTCCGAACGAATCCCCAGACCCGCTCCCAACAAACCCCTCCCCCCTCCCCCCCTCCCCTCCCCTCCCCCCTCCCCCCTCCCCCCTCCTTTCCCCTCCCCCCCCCCCCCCCCCCCCCCCAAAAAAAAAGGACCGAAGGAGCTGACTGACCCTCTTGAAGCCGCTGACCACCTTGGGGTTGAGGGGGAGGTCCCCGCCCCCCGTGGCTCCGCCGACGATGACGCTGCTACTGCTGCTGCTGCTCAGACTGCTGCTCCGGGTGCCAATGCTCCGGAGCTTGAGGTCTGCGCAGGCGGGGGGAGGCCTGCTGGCCGCGGGAACGGCCGGCATGGTCCTCTTGGGGGTCCAGTCCTCGGTCAGGGGCAGTTCGGGAGGGCCCGGGTTCTTCGGTCTGCATGGCGGTTCTCCGGAATCGGTGTGTGCGTAGAAACTTTTGACTCGGCGACTGGTTGACCTCAAATATGCTAGGAAACCCGTCGTTAGAGCAATCTCCATAAAAGATACCTAAGGTATGACAATAGTATCCAGAAAACGGTTCTGATACAAAGACGGGACCTGCACAGGAAGTCCGACCACTCGTAACGCCACGACTGGCGTCTCGGTTCTGCTCGGGATAAATCGTTTAGTACGAAGATTACGAAGTACGGGGACAAACTCCCGGTACTTACACATTCTCTGTTTGACATGCTTGACTGGGAGGCGCTGTGGACCTATAGGGGCAGAAAAGAGCAAGACATAACTTAGCAGCTTGTACACATCAAAGTACAGAAGTCAACATTTCCTAATGGAGGCACAGTGTGTCTCTGTCCACCAAACCATGCCTCCGACACCTCTGTGCTCGCACAAGCTATACCGTAGCCGACGACTGGCTAAGAATTGAGCAGATGCTCTGGCCCTAGTGCCCGACGTTGCATTCCGGCGGGCACTGGCCGCGCGTGCGACGGAGCGTTATCAAAGGCACAAAGCTTGCACTGGGGGCAGGGCATCTGCTAAATTCTTAAATATGGAAGTCAAAGACATGAGTTTAGTCCAGGCAATGCTCCCTGCCACTTTCCGGTTCAAATACGTCTGTAGTCCAAGAAGTATGGGAGGTACACACTCACCATTGGGCAATCGAAGGTGTGGGAAACGCTGGGGTGGGAAACGGCAGCATGCTTGCCGGTTGTGGATTTCTATTTCCCATGTTGTCTGTAGAGAGTCAAGTTTGTATGTGTAAGGGACAAGGAAAAGATTAAGGCAAGGTCAGCTCCAAATGCATGCCAGGGTTGCTTCAAAGAGTGCTCTTGGCGAGAAACTTTTTTTAAATTTACCTTCTTTAGGTGCCTCAGTGGGCCACGAGTGATTATTTGATTCCTGTTTTACAACAATAATGTGCACTATGCTTTGAGAGGACTATATTTTTTCCCTAGCCCGCGTGTATTCCATTTAGAATGCCAGCAATAGCTTTGAGTTTTAGCAGGTAGCTCTGAAAACAAATTATGTTTTGCTCATTTGTCAGAAGAACATAAATTTTATTAATAACTTATTAACAACAGGGTGATTCACTTTTGCAACTTTTGTGAAGGAAGAACCATAAAAAAATATTATGACACGAATGTATCACCAACGTATGCAGCCAATGACCAATTTACTTCCAATCACAAAGTTTTATCGCCTTAAAGGGGCCCTGCAAGGACTTTTTACTGTTTTTTAATTTGCACCGAACCTGAGCGCACTGAACGTAGTAACTTAGTGAAACTTTTCTTTTCGCGAAATTCGCTTTATTTTAAAAGTTATAGGCAATTTAGAATTACAAAAACAAGCAAAAAATAACCTCCTTCATGACGTCGTAGGTCCTGGCTTGGGTGGCCGTGAACTAGAGGAGGAATAGTGAGCTCATCGAGCACTCACGGCCGCCGCACTCCGTGTCGACGGCGCCAGAGGGCGCCACTAAAGCATATTCTGGATAGGCTGTATGCAGCGGGCAACCAAAGCAGCTTTCATTGCGTTTGCTGCGCGATTAAACACTAATTTGGCATGACACTTCATTGGCCAGAAACGACAGCAAACACGGGGTAAAGATCAGTTCAGAATGGGAGCGCACTTCGCGCTGCCATACCGCGAAACGGCCAAACCGCAAGACAAAGCCTCTCGAGGAAGGCCTTCGGAACACTCGGAGCCGGTCGGATCCTCCTGTCCATACGACTGCAGCGCCACCGCGTACATACGTGATTTTTCCGTGTCGGCGCCTTATCCCACTACTCCTTTCTAGTATGCGCCGCCTTTTCCACCGCTTGGTAGCGGGTATGTTGACAGGTCATTTCTTGTTTCCGTACTTTATAAACTGCATCTCTTTCTTTTTTTAATCTATAATAGTGAACAAAAATTACTTTTATAAATAATTGAAACGGTTCGCACCACTTATATTTTGTATTTCGACCAAAAAGAAGTTTTTCGTGGCTCTGATCAGTAGTAAGCCCAGGACCAAAGACGTCACATTTTGCACGCTCTTGGTACCGTGGGTCGCCCTCGTCGGTGGAGGAGGTTTCCGTGTCGTCCGGCTAAAATATGGCGCACTGATATTTAGCTACTCTTTCCGTGCCCGCTGGCTTGCCCGAACCCCAAGAGACGTGGAAACCGCATAAAAGGTAGACGCTTAAATATAATTGCAGGGCCCCTTTAAAGGGGTACTCCGCCGATTTCTTCATGGTCCCCGATTTGCTTGAAATTTTGCTAAACTCGCCAAACAACATCGCTGAAATAGTATACCAAATATTAGGTAAAAATAATTTTTTTTTCACGAAGTTATTGAATTTACAATTTTGGTCCTCACCGTGTTTTTCAGACTGAAAGTCTCTACTGGCAACAACAAAAAAGTGACGTCAGTGGAAGTGCCGGGTTCACTCTTTGGACTGTAGAATTTGTTCCCAACTGATTCGAAGCAGTTTCATGGTGTCAAATGAATGCTTTCGAAGCTCGCTCCAGTCCCCGCGCTCCAGCACGGAACAAATGATTGGCATATTCTATTTTTCAGACTGCTCGCCCGACTGGCAAGCTTACCTTCCACTGACGTCACGGCCCTGAAAAGGGCGGCTATATTTGAATGTTTGTTTTTGCATCATTTTCATTTGCCGATTTCACAATAACTATTATGAATTTCACGATACTAAATAGCATACCAGAAAGGGTAAAGGCCGGGGAGTCAGAAAATATAGTTAGTTGAGGTAGCTCAAAAATCGGCGGAGTACCCCTTTAAGGGGGGACATGGGCCTAAATTTCAAATATTTTTGAAAAAATTCATTTTTCAGTTTTGAGGTTATCGGTTTTAGAAACTAATTATACACCCTTACACCAAATTTGATAACCATACGCCAAATAGTTACGTAGATATAAAATATTTTCAACACATTGTGACGCAGTAACAAAGTAAGGAGTTCAATGTTTGAATGCTTTTTTTCTCAGTTCCACTTTTTGCTGCATATTTCATATGAAAGAATCTTTTGTTCGAAGGTAAAAGTATTCTGACACCACAATCAAGATGTTTCTGAACTGAAATTTACTGGGGAATCGGGCTATCTACTTTATTTTGTTTTAAATTGAAGTCCTCAGTGATAAAAAACTAAGTTTTCAAAAATTGACACAGGGCAGAAAATGCTTTTTATTTTTTGAGGTAATAACTCTTCCTGAAATATTTACATTTAAGTTATTTAAACTATTCAGTCAAAATGGTGCTTAATAGCTTCATTTGCATATCATAGATTTTTCTTAACAAAGAGTGACACATCACCTTATGCAGGTATGTAAATTACACCTAGAGAGCTGAAAGTTTGCACAGTACACCTACGTCTGAAGTTAAATCTCCCCTGCAAACTTCATTCTAATCACCTCAGTAGTTCAAAAGTTTGACCTCTAGCCAGTGTCCCCCCTTAAAATATAAAAAAAACAAAAAGGCATAGTGGCATGTTTTGAAATATATATTAGGCCAGTATGTACAGCGTTCTTTACAGTATAAAACTTCATTTTATCCAAGGTGTAGTTAGAGAACCTCTGGCAAGTTTTCTGGCCCCTGCAGCCGAGACATGCTTCTCAGAATCCAAAGTATACATTGTCGAAAGGGCCAAGCTTATCTGCAATAAGCTAGTGTCACATTAAACTTTAAAAAAAAAGTTAAACAAATTTTAACACAAGAATGACATCTGCCAATGTATTTGCAAACTCTGTTAAGCATCAGCCATCTCTTGACTGAAACTTGCAGAAAGTCGCTTTTATCTTTTGAATCAGTCATCGGCGAAATATTGTTGGTCATTGATTTTTATAAAATTTTCACAGAGTACTAAATGTCCACCCATGAATACGTCTACGAAATATTTAATAGAAATATTAATTTCTTCGTGACGTAAAATGCTGTATCCAAGAGCAGACGACGCACCCTGGCCCACGGCATTGTATGTTGTAGTGACAGGGAGCGTCTGTGGTTTTACGAATTGCGTCCGATTTAGGCTGTTTGCAGCATGCGATGGAGGGTGGGCAGAGCTGGTGATTGGCTGTGGGGTGCAATAACACCACGAAGAAATGCAGCAGAGTGACATCTTATCGGTTTCCGACCGAGAAGTTTCTGCGACGGAAGTGGGTCCGAGCAGTCCGACGCGAATGCTGGCTTCTAGTGTTCACAAACAGTTCACACATTGCTAGGAAATAAAACCTTTCATGTCATTCTGTTTCAAAGTGGCATGTGGGTTCATATGTCGGCGGATCGCAAATGCAGCCTCCACGAGGGTCCCCTCAGAAGCGATGCCGCCCGATCGAATGCGAACGGCAAAAAAAAAGCTCGTCTTAGTCAAGCAGTGGCTTGACTAAGACGAGCCTGATGAATCATAGACCATTATTTCTCACGGACAATCGCAACGGCTTTCTGGCTGGTCCAGATGCTGGGCGAAACAAGTTCCAACTGCCCACCATTATGTTTATACAACATTTGACGTCGAAACAAGATGCCAGACCAGTAAAGTAGCAGGTTGATTTCGGCTATATCGTATTGCTACAATTCAAAATTATTAAAAACACTTTTTTGAAATTTACTTGCTGCTTTAAGCTCAGTTTCTTGTGCACTTTCAGAAAACATGTCTAGTTGAAAACGTTCAAATTGACGCCACATGTTCTGAAGCTCTGCTACTTCATCCCCATTATTAGCGTTAAAGAGACCATGAAATTACCTTTTTACTTTTGCCAAATAACTTTTACATTCACCTTCAATGTTCACTGAACGCCGAAAAGGCATCCGTTTTTGTTTTGGTTTCCTAACTTCTACACGAAAAATTCATGAAATATTGAGTTTTTCTTCCTCTCCAACTCATTGCAAAACAAGCCGCGGCGTAATTTTGATGGTCGTGCATACGCTGTCACCGGAACAGGAAGTTATCTCGGCAGTAGGAGAATGGGAGCGTTAGCAGCGAGTTGGCGGTGTGCCGGTAGGCTTTACCACAGGGTTTTACTGCGCTGATGGCGCCGATGCCACGGACATATTTTCTGAATCAGCGCCTCTGATCACCGCAATAGCCAAGGACACATTGTAGCTGAGCGAAATTCAATTAGATATGTTGCACTACAGTGATAGCATGCGACTGGTCCCATACGCCGATACGAAGCGCAGCAGGTTGTCAGCACGACAGCCGTTTCCGTGGTATCTATAAAAAGAAGGGGACACGCTGTTACCCACAGGCGTAGCAAAAAATGCAGAGTTTTCTATCGGCTCAAGCTTTACTAACTTTCATTTTGTCTGGATAGGCTCGCAGGGCAGAGTGGATGAAAAAAGAAAAGAAAAAGATGCAGTATGCAGTCTTGGACAATCACGACTTTAAAACACGACTTCACTGATAGTATAAATCTCACAACATGCCTTTTCTATGATTGCAAAAAACAATGTAATCTTAGTAGAGGTATAGAAACGTAGAAATATGATTGAGTAATCCCATAGACGTTGCAATCGTTCAAGGAGTGCTAACACCAATCAATTCCACGCGTCAAAATTCGCATCCTTCATACATGCCTTTAAATACAGTATGCACCAGTGATATCTTGAACTTGATCACCCGCATGGAATGATCAAATAAGAAATCCAGGCGATGTTCGAGGAGACAAATGCTAAGAAAGCACCACTGAAGTCGAAGTAAACAAAGATGTCGGCACGAGCGTTTCTACTATCTTGAAGGTGCTGCCACAACATCACCGCATGAGTAGATGGATCTTCTCGTCTAGGACGTGCTGGGTTATCATCACGAACGCAACGATAATTCAGTCAAGGATAGCGCTCTACGCGGAACAACTAGCTTCCACCACGCCGACCACGTCAATCATCATGTTTTTGTGAGCAGACAGGCGGTTATGTGCAGTGGCCTTGCTTCGCTTACCTCATGATAGATGGTGCATAGCTCGGAGCATTATAAAATTCATCAATTTCCGTCACATCTCTAAATATTCAACAAATTATGGATCAGAATATTCTTTAAAAAAAACTTTTAAGAAACATACGCAGGCAATTTATTGTTTAGGATCGCGGTGCTGGTGAGGTAGGCTCTGATCCAATAGGCGATGTGGATTTGACTGACATGCCGTGGCACCGCAAATACATTGCACTGAAATGGCAGAGAGCTTTCGAAGAAAAGAAGGTATAACATAGTCCGCTTTTCTTTTAAAAGATCTATAGCTAAAAAAAATTTTTGGCTCTCTATTTTTGTGTTTTGGTTCTCTTTTCACACTTTCTACGACGTGTAGTGGACAAAATTCGATTTCAAAATCGTTTCATGGTCTCTTTAAATTCAGGCAGAGTCAGAGCTCCCTGCAATGCATTCACCTATGCGGAGCCAAAGACGCTCAACTTCTCTCGTCAATACTCAACATTTTCCCAGGAAACATTCTACCTTATGAGTACCGTTCAGGGAGTTCCTTTTGAAGGGACACTGACACCCCCCAAAATTTTTTTTTAATTTTTTGCCAGGCGCTTCATTATGGTGTCGGAGGACTACCCAATTAATATTTTGCAACAGAGTAGCATATTTTTTTAATAAAGCCAAAAGACGCAACTGCTCGAAACCGAAACCCGCGCACGGAAGTCGGAGAAGTGGAGAGAAGAGAGTGAGTGGCAGAAGTCACGTAACTACACCCGACCATGCATTTTTTTTTTTTTTTCTCCTTTTCGTAGCAGACGACATGCGGCGTATTGGGAACTGTTTGCCGCGCGATTCTTTTGCAGTTATGTTTGTTCCGCTCGCTGTTCTGTACTCCAAGATGAGTTGTTTTGTACATTGAGGAGTTGGAAATGAGTAGTGAGTGCCCGTGGTGAATTTCCATGATCGGCTCCAAAAAGAATACACCCAAGATGTTGCGTGAAGAGCTGGCTCACATGTCCTGCGTCCGAAAAAAAAAAAAGGGGCATTGTGCGACAGAGTTTCCAAAAGATCAAAGGGATCGGGACCAATGGCTGGCTGCAATTCCTGTAGAACATTTACGGGCACCTCGGAAAGCGGACGCTACCTGATTTATATGCTCCTTGCATTTTGTGGAAAGTGATTACATTGAGTTTGCAGGTGTCAAAAAGGAGATCCCATACCATTTAATTCAGCGACCTGTCGTCCACAACATTTGTTTGTTCCTTCAGTGATAATTATAAAAAAAAAAAGAAATGTAAACATCAAAATATTTTTGGAAAAAAAAAAAAAAGTTTCATTGGGGATTGAACTTGGTCCTACCGCGTGTGAAGCGGACGTCTTTTCCACTGAGCTACTGGGGTATCTCTTTACTGGGTGATTTCCTTCCTTAGTAACAATGCAGCCGGTAAATTGTAAGTTGGAAAGTTTGCTGCCGATTTTCATCCAGCAAAAGCACTCCCGGGTCGAAATCGGGAAGCACCACGCATTGGCGACATAATAAAGAAATCGTACGCGTGCATTTTCAGCTCGAAGTAGACCCGTCGTGCTTGACGTTTGCGCGAGCGATGTCTTCAGCCACCAGAAGGGAGCGACGGCTCAGCGACGTCTTCGTGCAAATCGGCTTGGTGGTCGGGCGTGACGTACGGGATGAATACCAATTCTTTTGATCAGTCCCAAATTTCTCTTTTAAAAGGCAGACAGAATTCGCCGGTACCGTAAACGACTGTTCTGAAGTAGAGGTCCAACACCCGTCGTCCGCTGCCATCGCCGTCCCCGCGAGTCCCACAACGCGCGAAACGACACACGCACAGAATGCTTCCGGTTCTCTGTGCAACTTTTTTTTCAATCAACGTATTTGCAGCTTTATAGAAGCCACAAAAAATGGGTTTCATATTTTTTTTCTATTTTTAATATTGAGTGTCTGCCTTCAGTGACCAACGACTTTGATTAAATTTGGTGGTCGCTTCGATACCTTAGAAAACGGCCCGTGACCACGGAAAAGAGAGTGAGCGAGACTTGAACCGGCCAGTTCTTGATCGGCAGTTTTTGGGCGGAAAGAAACCGAATTTTGAGTCAAAAATTTTGTTCTGGGTAGTTTGGCTCTCATATGTCATGTACAACTAAAAACCTCGGCGAGCATAAACACCCTGTCAGTGTCCCTTTAATTTCTATCTCTAACTGGCCATACGACGATATTAGGTTGGAATGTTTCTCATTTCACACAAGCTCACTGGCACTACTGAAACCTGAATATACTTGCACGCAACGACACTGACCAGGGAGCGTCTTTGTAGTGGCGTAATTTCAAGGATGAAAAGAAACTCTTTTTTTCGGTCTCTCTCTCGCAAAACCTGATGATGTAGTCGTGGGGATCGCCCCAGGGCAACGATAGTCATATGCGGCTCATAGAATGAACACAGGCACTGCATGAGCACTTGATTTGGGCTCGTGACAATCAATGCCTCGACGGGCATTCGGATGGTGGCTCGTGTCCAACCGAAGCAATGATGGGAATAGCCGAGCCTGACAGTGTCCGGAAGTCAGCGAGTGACCTGTACTTCATCAACCCCAGCACACGGCTATGATGAACATTGACGACATATAATTGGCACGAGACCATATGGTCTCTTGCTTTGGCCGCGAGTTGAGGAAGTGAACACTGCTCATTTTAATTTTTTGCTGCGACTTCAATTGAGTGGAGAGAAAAACTAAAGCACGATTCTTGGGTTATGAATAGGGTTCCGTGTTTTCAGTGTATACCAATAAACCCCCCAAAAATGAACCCCCGAGGCAGTTTTCTCTGAATCGGTGAAAACTGAAAACCCCCAAATTTAAGCAGTCCTTAAAGAAGAAGAAAAAAAAAAAAAAAAGACAGGTTCACACAAAATTTTTTTATCCTACATGTTTTTTTTGCTGATTTAGAACACAGTTGCTTGGGTGACCACCCATCCCGCGACTCGCGGGACTGTCCCACATTAGGGAGTCGTGTCCCAGATCCCGCAAGAAATTCTTGAATCTTCAATATAAAAGTGATGTTTTCAAGTACTCCTTTTTTTGTAGAACAATTATTAAATGGAGCGCTCTGCCCAATAAAGCTGTCAGCTGCCATGATCTCAACTCATTCGAGTTGGCATTACGCGAATGTTTGCCTGACTAGTATATGCATGTATCACATGTTGAATATCTATTTAAAAGATGCACAGGGGGCAACTACTTTGCCTGTGCAAGTGTAATGATCCGTCCGAGTGCTGGAATGTGTTTGTATTGCTTGTACAAACTTTTTTTCTTCTCTCCTGCGTTGACCGCAAGGTTCGCAGTATCGTAAATAAAAAATGTCCCACATTTCACACTGTCGTAAAATTCACTCTGCAACTCATGGTGTTGCCGAACAACAGGACACGGGGAAGCACGGAGATTGCTGGTAATAGTGTGAATCGCAATGGTACGCCACAGTCTATACAAGCAATGTGGGAAGCGACCGTTGCTCTTGCAGGAGAACCGACGAGCATGCACCGTTCTCCCCTTGGTGGAAAAATATTGTAAGAGAAAATTGTTCGCCGAAAGTTTAAAAATAAATTATTGTAATTATTTTCAAATCGTTGTGTCAATGCGAAAGGGTTGCTGTGGAAATTTTTTTTTTAGTGAAGACAGCCACAAAAGACAGAAAGCGTGCAACTCACAAAAGTCGAAAAAGAACATAATGTTAAAAATTTGTGTAGGACTATATTGATAAAAGTAAGCGTTGACAGGAAACAATAACTCGAAAAAGATTTACTGTTTCTTAAACCAATTGATGCATTGAGTTCTGCTGCAGTTGATATTTATGTCTTCAACTTCAACACATTTTTTCAACTTCGACGAGTCGACACATATTTAGCATAAAAAGATACATATTACTGGGAGTGAAAATTATTTAAACTTAATTGCTACTATACAATTTGCATGTGTATAAACAGCACTGGATATTATATGTGTTAAAAGAGCCTCAATGTAATTCTTAATAAATTTCCTCTGTGTTCTGCGTGTCCCGCATTTCGCTAGCAGGAAGGTGGTCAACCTAACAGCCGCACTGAACTGTCCTTTGGCTTGTTCCTATCAAAGACACATTCTTTGTCCCGTTCCTTTCTCTTATCTTTACCAGCAATACTGGGGAAAACATAATTTATAACTTACAATACTTTTTCCAGTAACTATAAAGTCGCTTGACAATAGAAGCTCGATAAACACCGATTTCTCTTCGGCTTTAAAATCAAACACAGAAAAACACCATTTCCATAGGAAAAACAATCAATAAATAACCCAAAAATTTGAAGAAAAAAAAATAAATAAAGACTGAAAACACGGAACCCTAGTTACGAATGTCAAGAATTATTTCTCAGCAATATTTAGTTGAAGTATGAAAATCATTGCCACTTTAGTGGCAAGGCACATACCAGCATTGTATGTCCTGGTGTAAGGTTGAGTCTTTGCTTGTCGTTGATTCTGGGAAGTGGCGAAGGTGCCAGTGTGGGCCGACTGGGGCTTGTGCGCTGCAAAGCTGGGGACGGGTGTTGGCATGGCTGCGTGCCTCGGATTGCTGCCAATTGTGTCTGAAAAACAGGACAAGATGCCGAATGTGTTTCCTGCACGAATATTGGAGTTGATGGCCCTATCAGGAAGACTGCTAAGCCCACCAATGCATAAATATACACAGGACGCCCCCCTCATTGACCACCGGCCAGTTTTCCTGCAAAAGCTACGCACCATGCAGCAAAAACACTGATGTCATCGTAGTAATTTCCAAGGAGTTACTATGACTAATTAATTAATAAACTACGAAGCATTTGAGATAATTAGGTTTTCCTTTAATATACCGTCATCAAGTTTCTAATGATTAAAATTAAAGGTAGAGTTTAAAGAAAATTCTTGTTGGGTCTCAGCAAAAAAAAAACAACAACATGAAACCAACCAACTTCAGAAAAATTTTAGGTGCTACAGCATCTTGAGGTAGCTGACTTCCCTAACAGGACCTAGTAGTTACAAATACGGCCTAAAAATTTTCCTGTGCAATGCATAGTTCTTTCAGAAAGGTTTTAGCTGGCGTTCGGTGCGGCACTTTGTATAAGGATCAAAAATGTCCCCAAGAATCTCTGCGCAAACACTCTTTTCCAAGCCAAAAAAAAATGTTTGTTAGCAGTGAAAAATGTTTCTTAAGGAGGACCTTGCAATTTTCTTCTACATACCCCCACACTGATGCTTGACAGCTCCACACAATGATTGCCAGCTCATCCCTTAGAAGCGCTACCGGACCACTGCTTTTTTTCCCCTAGAGTAAGTTAGAGATCAAGAAGGTAGGGCGAGGGAATGGAAGTATGTTCAGAAAGAAGCAGACAATATGCTGGAGAGGAGAGGGGGAAACCTAAGGTAACTGGAGCCCTTCGACATCTGAGAGCACATCCTGTGTGTGGTGTGTGTTGGCATCATGCACTGCAACTGGGCTCCAGAGCTATACACAAGAAGGGGGCTCCATACAGGTGGGAAAACTCCCAGATCTCCACTGAGATCAAGTATCCATGCCACCTGGACTATACTCTCAGGCTCCCAAACAGATCAAGTATCTAGTGCATAACAATAACTCTATACCTCTAACTTTTGTATCACTCTTTCAATACCACTCTTAGGGTCAATCGCTATGAACTTAACTACAAATGAAAAACACGTTAACCCAAAGAATGTGTTTGGCAACAAGAAAGATAGCAAACAGTGGAAGGAAAATTTCAACCTTCCCTCACCGATTCCAGAATTTAACCCCAAATGAAAATAGGAGTATCTGGCTGAAACTAGGGCTGGGCATAGATTAAAATTTTTAATCCGATTAATCGGCACCTTTTAATTGGTTAATTAAATTGTCAATCGGATTTGTGTAGTCTTACGCATAATAGTTAAAAATCAAATCAAAATTCCATTCCATCTTTTGCCTTTGTTAATTAAATGTGATAAACAGTGCAATGTACAATTTCGGATTTTAAATCAACCTTGATGTGTAGTTGAGTACATTTAAGACACCCACACTCCCAAAATATTACTTCAGCCGCAGAGGCAAACATGTTTGTTGATATTCTCTGGCAATAACAAACTAGTTTGAGTGTTCACAATAGTCCCTACTGCGCTAAACCGACACTCGCATGACGCTCAAGTGGCTGGGGCACGTATAACTTTCTCCACTTGTTTGGAGTTACGATCTCGCATACATGGGTAAATTACTTACAAAATTTAATTTAATTACAATTACTTTGCTTCAAAATTACAATTACTACTATGTGAAAAGTAATTAATTACAATTACAAATTATATTTTTAAAAGTAATGCAATTACTTTACAATTACTTATTTTGAGAGCGAGCTGACTTGGGCCATATAACTTTAAACGAGTTGTATAGAATGCAACGTATTTGTTCATTCCTTGCCCCAATGTTGCTGCATAAATGCCACGTATTGTTCTTTCCTTTTATGGATTTTGTTAAATTCATGATAGAACTTGACAGTCTGGGGCCATGAAGTACTACTACTTATATTTTTATTAAATAATCATAAATTAGTTCATATGCTGGAAGACACCAGATCGCTAAAGAAAAAATTGGGTGACAGACTTTTGTTAGCCAGGCAAATAAAAACGTGGCAATTATTCATATAGGAATATTTTCGCAAGCGTTAATATAAAACTAAAATCTACACGTGCTAATACGACCTCATTCACAAACAAACATCATGGTATTCTAAATTATTTACAATGAGTTGAAATTATAATGGCTCAGAAATATATCAGAACCGAATCGGGGCTCCCAAATCATTCGTGACAATATTCACAGGTGCGAGGTCAGTCTCCAAAATGCTTATGCAAATAATATCCGAAGTAAAACCAACACGAAATAAACTTGCAAATAATACAAACATACAAATATGCGACAGAATGGAAGAGGGAGAGAAAAAACTGGCCTAAACGAAAGAAAACTAACGTCATAGACAATTAAAATTCCCAACCTCGGCTGAACACTGAACCTCAATTTTTTTTCTTTCAATATTTTGGCATGTTTACGCTATTGTTTTGCTGCACGCACAGCAGATGGCGCTACACGGCGCAGTTCAGGTAGGCTCCAAAAAGGATTGTCTCTCAGCCCACAGTGTAAGCAACAAAAGAACAAACAATGCGATGCTATTTATGTTATGCGTAAGTGTGTGTCTCTGTGTGAGTGTTTTACCGAGAGCTAGGCCGCTTGTGCGAGCGCTGAGGCTTTCAGAGCGGTACCGTCGGCGCCGCAAAGTTTTGCAAAAGTAACTGTAATTGTGCCTGAAATCTTGCAATTGCTGACGCTTGAAAGTAAGTAAATTACAATTAAAATTCCTTTCAGGCAATGTAATTTTTTACAATTGAAAATTACCAAGTAATTAAATTACAGTAATCCAATTACTGTGATTGAAGTACTACCCAAGTATGCAATCTCGCCCCTACCGTTTACTTTAGGTAAAAATTTCTCCTACAATTTGCCTTCATGCAGGTGTACTCGTCCCATTCTGCGTAGTAAAAGCATCGAATTTTTACTTTGCTTGGTCAAACTTTAAATGATTAAAAAATCAATAGCAATTAAAGTATTAATTGATTAATCGGTAAATTAGTCGATCAAGTGCCCTAGCTGAAATTTTTTAAATATTATTTTGAAGCCAGGGATATCACTAGCCTCCAGAAGTAGCCCCCGGTGCTACTGGCACCATGAGGCGAGTACTTTTTGAAACCTTACCAACCTTCGGAATTTCAGCTTGAAGAAATTGTGAATCAGAGCACTTTGATTCTGATCTGATTCCAAGCCAGACAAACTGCTCGGCCAATGCAAGTCCGACAGGGAAGCCAAACACCATAGAAATAGCGTATCATCGTCCTCTGCAAGACAGCAGCTAAAGGACAATTTGGAGCATTGATATGCGTGCCGATCACAGCTTCGTTTCTGAATGTAAAAACCCTCCAGCAAACGTAAGCTTACAAGTTTTTGTCAATGTATCACAGGGCTCTTCAGCACAATAATGTTCATTTCATTAAACTAGCCAACCTAAAACACTGCATCATCCTACACAACATAAGACAAAATGAGCCCTGGATGATTCGTCCAACATGTACGAATTACCTAAATCACACTTCAGACTATCCATCTTAAATATTTTGTGTAGAAAGGGTCGACGTTTAGAATCACTATCACATAGGGAATTAAAAGAACTTACTTTTCTATCTGATTTTTGAATACTGCTGATGTTTTTGTTATGAATATAATGTATTATTTCATGTATGATTGTATCATTACTCTAATGTGTCACGTTTTTCTTTCACTTGCCTGTGTATTTTTTGTCTAAATATTTGCATCACATTTAGTATTGTATAAATCAGGCTTTTGCATTTGTTTGTACTCGTCTTTCTACACTGTTGTTGTAGTCCAAATTTTAGTTGCAAACTGCACAGGGGCTAAGACCTTTGTCAAGCTGCCCTTTAGCAGCTTTTTGTCAAGAGTCTCTGTTGTCATGTAAAATGTGACAACAAATAAACCTGATTTGATTTGCTTTGAAAATATCTGTTAGAATAGGGTGCACAGCCTCCCCAAAGTTAATGTAACTACAAAACAACTCGTTTTAAGTCCTTCTAGTGATTTCTGCACCTACTGATCGAAATACCTGGTGATATTTTGAATGGGAAGTAATCCAAACTGGTACAGTGCCCTACTTGCAACAGCTTTGTTTGAGTAAACGAGTGGTGGTGTTTGGGGAGCACTGTACAGGCTTATTCTGGGATCTCAATAAGCTGAACCTCCCACGGGCTGTAATACAAACTTACATGGTTTGACGAAAAGCCAGGGGCGTTGAAATGAGGAAGACAATTTGTCCTCCTTTCACTAAACCAAAAACTTTCTCACTTAATTTTGTACAGCCAACGGCAGCCTCCGAGAGGTGTCTCTCATCTAAGTCATTAAGCGACGTCATAATTAACACAACCATTCCCTCGACGAAGGGCCCTTTCCAAAATACAAGACACTACCTGGGCTGTTACCATTCTTGTTGCGGAAGATCTTCACGACTCCGAGCGAGCTCCTGAGGGCGCAGAGTATGTCCGACATGCTGAAGACGAAGCTCTCCAGACTGGCGTGTCCGAACAGTGTGTAGTTGATGCCCGTGCTGTGCTTCCTGGCGTACATTTCCTCCAGCTGGCCCAGGGTGATACCGTCGACGCAGGTGCTCAGCAGCTCCTTGATGTTACTCTTTACCCTCATCAACTGCTGAGTCGTCGGCGGCGGCGGCGGGCACAACCTCGGCGGTGGGCCCTGCCTCTGCGGCGGCTGCATCGGCAGCAAGGGCGGCCCCAACCGCTGCGGCGGCATCATCGAAGACGGGAACCGGTTGTAGCGTCGCTGCGTTGTGGCAGTCGGTTTCGACGTCGAATCTTTCTGACGGCTGACCAGTTTCTGGACGTGCTGCACGTCTTGGGTGACATTGGGCTTGACGTAGAACTCGCTGCCGGACTGGTAGACCTGAACGGTGTCCGTGAGACTCCTGAGGAAGTTCAGCGGGTCGGAATGCCCGAACTTGGCGTAGGGAAAGTTCTGTCCCTCACTGCTCCTGTATTCGTTGATGAACTGCCGAACGGTGAAAGTCCGCTTGTCGGCGATCAGTAGGGCCCGAATTATTGCCTTCACTGTCTCCAGTTCTTCCTGTCTCGATGACATTTTTCTTCACTGCTCTCACACTCTGCGACAAGAACGAATTATCACGCGTCGCGCGCGCAAGACGAGCGCGCAGTCACTGTTGCATGTTTTTGCGAGTGTCCGCCTACAACATTTATCTGTTTCGCTTAAGTGGGTCTAGTTGAGTTCGTAAAATAACGCGAATCGAAGCCGCGGATGTGGCATTGGGTACGTCAAACCACGGTAGAACACTTTTGGGTTCTAGCTAGCTCAGCGGTGTTACTGATATTCGTGTCAGCACAACACAGCGCGCTTATTTTGGCATCATTACAAAGCTTCGGTATAAAGGTAGTCACAATACCGACCATGCAAATTTCCTTTGCGCCTCGCTCATACCGTCGTCTAAAATTTAAAAAATTCCGAAACTTCCTAAACAAAAATTTGTCACGCGGCACGCCTGTCAATACTTTTCTTCCTACATGGATTGGGTTGTCCGATATTGGATTCTAATGGCTTAAATGGACAGACCAGAGCACTGATCTTATGGACCAGAGCCATAACTTCTTGTCAAAATCTGTTCCTCTTGGTGTATGTAATAATAATAAAAATAAAGCCTTATTACCTTATTAATACAACTTACACGTTATTAATATAAAAATGTATAATTTATTTAAGTTAACCTTATTTCTGCAATCAATTCATTAACAAAAACAAATGGATGACTTGATCTCTTGAGTCGGGCGGTAGACCGCGCTAGAGCACTATATACATCATATACACCTTTCCAAAAAACCCAAAAAACGCTCCTAGGCCGCCGCCTAGTTATGGTGTACTAGAACTGGGCAGTGTGCCGTCCGCGCCGAGAAGCAACGGAGGGAGGAGGTCGGCGCAGCGATGACGGCGCGCGAGGAGGCCAGGGGGCGCTGCGGGTAACAGGCGTGCTTAGGCGTGCTCCTTCCCGCTCGGATTGCCGTGTGGTCGTACTGCTTGTGATCGCGTGGTTCGCGTCGTCGCCTTGTTTTGCTGCAGTTTTTTTTTTTTTTTTTTTTTTAATGGTTGAGTGAAATGGATTGTGATCGGTGCCGTTCAGTAGGGTGTAGACAACGCGTGCAATGACAGAAAAACGGCGGGACAAGAGAGACGGGACGTGTTTTGTGTCGGGGCAGTGATTTCCCTCCACCCCTCAGCGGGGGTGTACTCCCCCCTTGTTTTTCCGAAAGCACCCTCCCTAACCTCAATTCCTGGGGCCCGTGCCGGGTTGTATACCGGTCCTGCAAAGAAGCCCGTTCCCTTTTTCGTGCCCCTCTCGAGTTCAATCGGCGTCAGTCGTCGTCCCGCAACATTAAAAGCAGTGACAGGGAGACTCTGCTTCATGTAATGCAGGCTGTCATGACAGCCGTCCTCTACATTTTTTTTTTTCCGGACTTTTTGCACTCTAAAGTATCTGCTAAATCGGTTTTATAGACACTGGTTTGGGCACACCGAAGGGTCCTGTGCACGCTGACCGCATTAGAAAGGCTTGGAGAAGTGACTGTGAAAATATGACGTTAAAGGTTATGGCCTCACATGAGCAAATTATTTTTTTTTTTCCTAACGGGTTTAAAGATATGAGGGTTGGCCCAGCACTCCGTCTCTTCAATGAAAAGGTGCTAAGAGGCCTCTTTTTTTTTTTTTTACCGCAAGAAACTTGAAGGGTCTTATGGCCCAGCGGAAGATACTGAGTCATTTATCTTGAAGTTGTCGAAGCTCATCAAGATCATGACCTCACGTTGGAGAATGCAGAGGTACAAAACGCCATAGGCGCCAACAACGGGGGAGCTCGGGAGCCCCCCTCTCCCGAGCACTTGGGAAAAGCAAGTATACCATCGCCTCCAAAATCCTTGGGTGCACCTCATTAATCTCATCTGTGCGCTGGCGCCCAGTGTATAATTAAAAATTTATCTGTGTGCCCTGGTGCCCACACATATCAATATAGCTGGTGCTCAGTGGATAAATAAGAATATATATCAACGAGGTAGAGGGGCTTAGAGCGATAAACCGGGGTTCCGGTCTGCACTCGAAAGTGACCCCCCTAAGGCGGCTGCCATTGTACGCAAATTTGACCACACGTCACATGACCAAACCAAATACGTGACGTCACAGGAAAGATGGCAGCGCCCATGCAGCGGCTGGCCCCAGCTGGGCCGGAGCTTGTCGGATGCTTTGTTGGTTGTCGTTCGTCTCGGCGAGTTGATTTCAGACGCGGAAGCCGTCATATGAGGCCGGTCGAAAGCGAGTTCAGAGGTCAGCGTGGTGTTTGACGTAGGTATAACGTGCAAATACGGAGGAACGGTGTGCATTTCGCTGGTGACCGACCGGGATATTGCCACGGAAGTGACAATCTGACCTACGTTGCTCGGACCTCGGATTGATTCAGATACCGCTAGGATAAAATTTAAGGCGACGTTTCTGTGCTCTCGTTGACCATCGGAATCTTTGAGGTTTGCAGTGAAGCGTGTGCAATATTTTGGATACACAGTTTAGCGACGGAAATTGCGTGAGTCGTGCTTGGCGGTGTGCAATCGTGGTGCAGCTTCGATCAAATGACCGAGGGCTGACTTCGGTTGTGCGGCGCACCGGAAGGCTGCCTTGAAGCTGGTAGTTCCCGTGCCGTGCTGAATGATGCTGTGCTGCTTACAAATTGTTCCGGCGTAGAAGTGCACTTTCACGGAGCACAGGTGTGCGGCGCACCGAAGAGCTGCCTTCAAGCTGGTAGTTCCTGTGCCATGCTTTAGGTGATGCTGTGCTGCTTCCGAAATTGTTCCGGCGTAGACGTGCACTTTCACGGAGCACAGGTGTTGCAGTTGGTATTGATCCCGCTGGTCTGTCGCACGTTTCGTTAACACAAACGTTTCATCCACACTCGTTACGCGAATTGCAAGCTGTCCGGACATTCCATCGAGCGTGTTACGTACCCAGCTCACGCCGCTTTGTGGCAACAGTCTGCAGTGGCTCATTACCAGAAAAGTGGTCCCACATCCATTTCAGTTCAGCTCGTCCATGGCAGTCGCCAAACCCCGAAGGAGAGGATTTATTCGGACAGAATGCCACTAAAGCAATGCAGCTTCTTCAGTGGTCAGGATAGATTCTCTTCTGCGAGTTTTGTTATACTGTCACGGATCCTTGTTCCAGTCCTATCTTCTATCAGTATTCACTATTCTCGGACACTGCAGGTCATGCTTAGCTGTAATCGTATGTTCTGGTGGAGGTGCTGGGCACCCATAGCCCTTCACTCTGTGTGAACCCGGCGGCTCTTCAGCCGAGTTACCCGATAATGGGACACGGCTGGCGGACTATTTTGCGTCTTATACCCCCGTCGAGCCGTAAGCAAAGTCCTGACCCGAGCCTGGCAGAACAACCGCAAGACGACCGAATACCACAAGCAGTAACCTCGGAGGTACACCACGAAGCACCTGAAATCCGAGCCAGTTGCTGCTACCGGGAAAAACCACCGGAATTCGGTCTCCTGTCAGAAAATCCGAAGCTGACTAAGCCAACAATGACAAACCTGTAGCAGCAAACCGTGTCCCCTCCCATCATTGTTTGCATGCCCGTCGCAAATCACACTCCGACGCTTTTTCACGCAAGCTGTATGAAGACGTCAAGGACTGGATTGAACAATATGACAGTGTCGCCCGCCACATTGGGTGGACAGACAACCAGCTCCTGCAGAACCTATACTTCTCGTGGAAAAAACTGCCGGCGCTGGTCTGAGAACCATGGATCCTCCTTAACGTCATGGGAAGTTTGCAAGATCGAGCTGAAGCGCGCATTCGTCAGCCAACATCAACGAGAGAGCCGCATTCTTGGTTCTGTCCAGGACACTGCCCCAACGAGAGCGCCACCGCACTCGTGGAGGATGTTTTGCGCTTGATCGAGCGCCCACGCCCACGCCGACCTTGATGCTACAGAAGACAAGAACCTAAGAATCCCATGCCCCTTACGTGAGGGAGAACACCTTCGGCAGCCTTGTCCGCAACCCCCAACAACAGTCGAAGTGTTCATATCACCGAGGCTTCCAACATGGAATGTGCACTGCATGCCCGAGCCTGCCACTATGAACAACTTCCCGGCATCTCGACACTCGAGTTGTCCAGCTACTACTTTGACGCCAACCTCCCAGGCATCCACGATGTTGTTTGGGAGGAGAGCAGGAAGCTACTTCCTGCCATCAGTTGCCTGGCTTTTATTTTGATTGCCGAGATTGTTTCGGAACAAGTTTGACAGGTATTTCAACCGAGACTTCTGCGAGCGAAGCGGCATCTGACAAACCAAGGGCAACTTACGCCACAATGGCACGACGACCGCCACCGGCTGCCCCTTAGTATTCAATGCCAATTCAATGAGACACTCTAACGCCGAAGCATTCCCGACATTGTGTGTAGGTCTGTGCTCAACAAAGTACACCGAGGAAAACGTAGGTGATGCGAATGTGCGACCGAAAACCACTTTGCTACCACTGCATGAAGCCGACCATGTCTACCAAAGCAGCCCGTACCAATGAATTGGTCTGCAGGGTTCGTGCCAAACGACCCTCGATTACGTCTCGAGGAGCGACCACGGGAGATTAAGGATTACCTTCGGCGCCCTTTGTCCCTGATGCCGAAGGTGCTGAATCGAAGATTCTGAATCCCTGATTACCCCGAAGCTCCTCATGTCCATCACCTCAACGAGAGGTAAGCACGACAAAGCAGGTGAGCGGCGATGCAGTGACAGTGGATTTGGTGTGGGTTGTCGTCCAAGGACAATACCTAAAAATTTGCCGACACCAATTTTCTGTGTCCACTCCACGAAGCAGACAATTTCCAACTTTGAGGGAGAATGCCCCTGAGTGACTTGAAGGAATAGAATGGTTGCTTGATCTCAAAAGTGAACTGCAAGCATCACCAGACTTGGATAGCAAACAAAAATTGTTGCCAGCTATCAAGTCAACGGTACAGCAAAAGGCACAGACACGCAAGCAATACATGCCCGAGCTTGCTGCATTGATGCCGAAAACTACCAGGAAAATTTTCGGATTGGAAGCCAGCCCTGCAGCTTCAGTGCATCAGATGTCAGTGGCCGCACATTACGTATGATTACAAGACAGCATCAGTCGGTTAAAGTTGCCACTCGACCAAACTGAACACCGACGTGCCAGGAGTGTCATCCGACAACAAGGTCCACAGGTACTACGACTGAACGCCTGACACGAGACTGTCGCAGACAGAACTCGTTATGGAACCATTTCCTAAGAATCAATAATTATGTAATCAAGTGGAAATAAACATATTTGATACACTAACCAGATAAACATATTTCCGCTTACCTTCATGCCTTGAGTCTATACACCGAGAATTGTGTCCACTGCACGCTCTGGACCTTACGAGGACACTCGCATCTCTGATCCTTCAATATTAATTAAGGGGTCATACCATACTGGCAGACTTCTTGCAAGGGGCTGCACTAGTTCAACCTTTCCTGAACATG